CTAATGTGCCATCAAATCTAAAAGTAAAAGTAAACATGGTAGTTTCCCATCTTTATATTACCTTTATGATACCCACTGCTTTATTTCTATATATTTCTCTTAATGGAACACTATAGGGTCAGAAACACAAACATGTATTCCTATAGTGTTAAAAACACCATCTGAGCTCCCCCCCCCCGACCCACCCTTGCCTTTCTAAATATAGTCAAATCTTACCTTTTATTCCAGTCTGCTAGCGTTGGCCCCACCCACGATCTGCCTCCTTGGCTGACATCATCAAAAGTGATTATCTCAGCCAGATTGGCTGAGATTGTCAATATTGGCCAAATACCATCCTGGCCAATTAACATCTCCTCATAGAGATGCATTGAATCAACGCATCTCTACGGGGAAAGCTTAGGGTGCAGCACTGCCCAGGAAGCACCTCTAGTAGCCATATGAAGTGTGGCCACTGGTGGTATCACAAGGCTGTAATCTAAACACGTTTCCTGCAAAAAGCCTACAGGAACTGACTATACTCACCAGAACAACTACATTAAGCTGTAGTTGTTCCGGTGACTATACTGTCCCTTTAATTCTACTTTTTTGTTCATGGTTTTGTTTCAGTTGGAATTTCAACCGAACGTCAATTGTTTTCAAGTTCAATATGGATTTTGTTTTCCAAGTTTCATAGATAAAATCAGTTGTTGGTTTTTTTTTTTTTGCTTCGTCAAAGAGTTATAAACTTTTTGTTCTCAGCACATGTACTAAATTTCTACTTTACTTAAGAATGCTGTTAGTGTCTCGTTGTATAATGCTAACCTCCTCTCTAATAAAATTGTGACTTTCCATCACTAACATTAGAAAAAATCCTGCATGTTATGCAAGACAGAAGGCTCGTATTATGCTAAAGGACAACTGTCACCTAAAATAATGTTTACTCATTACACTGATTTCAATAATTACCAAAACAAAGCTTCAATCTGCTACTACAATCAAAAGTCCCCAGTTGAATTGTATGTGTCGATCAAGACAAACGTGCAAAATGTCTTTTATTAGATCAGCTAGTACTTTTGGTTTGTTTCCTCTTAATTGATGTATGAACTAAACAACAGATATGTCTTCCATTGCTAGTTTTATAAAACAATTGACTTTGTCTTTGATAGGGCTGTACAGCAATAAGGAACCAACTAACAAATCTAAGCAGTGTATATGAATTGGTTTCCTCTTTTAACCATTTCTTCCAGTTGTGAGCGCTCAGCAATGTGTACCCCATTCTACCAAACTGATATCTGACTCAAAGTTGCTCTTCCATTACAAGCCTTGAAGAGTTTCAACCTCCAAATCAATTCTTCTTTTGCATATACTGATAAGGGATTTTACCAGAATAGAAAAAAAAAACAATTTCTTATGTTTGGCCTTTTAACCTTTCAGGAGAAACATAGAATGTGACGGCAGATAAGAACCATTCGGCCCATCTAGTCTGCCCAATTTTACTAAATACTTTAATTAGTCCCTGGCCTTATCTTATAGTTAGGATAGCCTTATGCCTATCCCACGCATGCTTAAACTCCTTTACTGTGTTAACCTCTACCACTTCAGCTGGAAGGCTATTCCATGCATCCACTACCCTCTCAGTAAAGTAATACTTCCTGATATTATTTTTAAACCTTTGCCCCTCTAATTTAAGACTATGTCCTCTTGTTGTGGTAGTTTTTCTTCTTTTAAATATAGTCTCCTCCTTTACTGTGTTGATTCCCTTCATATATTTAAATATATAAGGAGGAGCTCAATAAAACCTATGGAAATATTGTCTGAATTGAAGCAGACAAAAGACCCGAGATCCTAACTACGGCTCTGATGTGAAAAACAATATTTCTTACAGACTAACTTTATCAACTTCAGGTTTGTGTGCAGTAAAGTGTTTGTTTAAAGTGACACTTGCAGGCATCAAAACAACTTTAGCTAAATTAAGCAGTTTGGTTGTATGTAGGTGATGCCTCTGCAGTTTCACTGCTCAATTCTCAGTCGATAAGGACTTAAATCACTTTTGTTTCTTGTCCTAAACACACCTCCCCTGCTTGTGACTAGACACAGGCTGTGTGAAAAAAAATTATTTTTTTTATTTTCAATCAGATGTTAACTTGCCTTATACATTTTATCTCCTGCTCTGCAAATAACATTTTAATCTCACAGCGGAGGCTCCTGCGGGGTCTAGGAGGCTACTAACAGAGCAGGCGATAAGAAATTCTTTTTCACGGAGTTGAGTTTTTGTAAAGTCTGATACATTATTAGAATGTCATCTAATTACATAAACCTTTAAGCTCCTCTTCGTTATAGCGCGCTGTAACTTCTTTCAGATGTTTTCTAAAATACCCTAAAACTGAAGTGATACCAAAAAGAAGGCACGTAAACTGCCCTTTCTTTTGTTCCAGATAAACAGTAAAATATTTATCAAGGACTAGATGCTTGGAGGGAGTGAGATCTACATGCTTCATTTCTGCTTTCACAAGCCAATCTATTTATCATAAAGATTCTTCAGGCAATTGATTCCTTCCATTTTAAAAAATAATGTAACAAACATATGAAAATGAAAGAATATGCATGCAAATACTACTAACTCCAGTAAGATGGCTGCTGCATCCAGCTCTCGGGACAAAAACCAACCTTATACAAGTAGGAACTGTTAATATAATCACTTGAGGAACACATTAAGCTCCACATGAAAGGGAAAATACAAAATATCAAAAGGTAAAATCAATCAATCAAGTACAATGAGAAAACAAAGACTATGCTGAATCCAAATACGGAAAATTAAAAAGCAAAACCCACCAAAAGACAATTACTTTAATTGAAATATTGAATAGAAAGATGATATGGAGCACTCCAACAGTGCCAATATTTAGGTGCCGCTGCCACAGGTAAGTTGTCTGTTCATCAAATCTTAAAGTGATATTAGCGAAATGATATCCTCAGAACGGAGCTTGAAAGGACTAGGCAATGTTTCGACACTCCTGGTGTCTTTTCTAAACCTGGTGCCTTTGTCAAAACGTCTTATTAACAATCAATGTCAACTACATCATGCAGCCCCTGGGAATTTCTTTGCAAGAATTAGTACTTATTTTGTCACTCAACATACTTTTTGTTAAGTAGTATTTACTGTAAACCGTCACTGACTGTCGGGAAAGAGCACTTTTGGTTTGACAAAAAATTTAAATCATCAAAGAAGCCTATGACAATGAGACTTTCACTATCGGATGACAGAAAATGTATAAACTGTGTACAGTAAATATGATGGACGTGATGGCATATAGATGTGCAGTAATTAAAGAGACTTTTAAAAGGAACAATGAAAGTTGTGAAAAAAGTTATTGATGAAATAAAATATGAAAGATATGAAAAGACCCCAAAAGAGAGAAAAGAGCTGATGGTATTAGAATTGTCTATTAGTGTCTGCCTAGTTTATAGACATCACTTGTCATAAATCCTTTATAGAAATGTTTTACTTAATTTCAGGTTTAATTGCACTTGCTGAGTGCAACATAATTGACGTTTCCAATAGTTTATCTAGCATTATTATTATTATTATATGATATTTATATAGTGCCTACATATTCTGTAGTGCTGTACATTAGATGGAATATAGTCAAATAATGAACACGTAATGCTTAAAAAGAAGACCTTGCCCGTCAGCTAAAACAAACTAGTAAACACTGCCCTTTTTATACAACGTGCTTAGCAAGATAACTCATGAGTTCACAATGTAAAGTTGTCCACGACATCTATCCCTCGCAGCGCAGTGCAATCACAGAAATTATGTCTTTTGTATACTAATGCACACCTATTCATCCCTAGCTTCCTGATGTCTCATTATGACATCATATATGACATGGAACCCGGTCTCCTTTTATAATGTCTTGTGACGTCATGGTTCTCGGTAACCAATCACAACCCAGTATAGGATCTATACTTCCTGGGTGTCCATGTTTCCTTACCCTGTCTTTTTTTTTTGTTTTTTTTTACCTGATGTGTTTATATTGTGTATTGGTTTTACGGTTTTCTAATCTCGGCTTTTTTGACTATTCTTGCTCTCTGTTATCCTGATCTTGGCCTGACTATTGGTTTCTGAGTATCTCTATTATCCTAGACCTTAGCCCGTCTCTTGTTTATACTCTGACTGCTTGCAGACATTTAATTTATCTGTCTCATGCACTAGCCCGGCCACTCTAAGGACCTGTACACGTTCCTTTACTGTTTCCATTAGGTTTGCGTGGTGGGTTATCTCCATTCCTAAAAAATGTAGAGTAAAAAAAGCATAACCAGATTTATTGTGTTTTGCCCACAAATCTGAATATATGAGAAGTTGTGTGAATTACCCCGATTGATTGTCTGACAGTGCTTTCCAATGAATCATTTCCAGGCTGCAAATATGTTTTCCTAAAATACATGCCTGCCTACTAAGCTGTCATAGGCTGCTAGCACTGGGGAGTGGAGGTGGCATTTCACCTGGTGCAACCATTATTTTGAATCCATGCCTGCTGCATTGTTTAAGCCTGGTGATTCTCCTGCTCCATGCTCCCCTGCAGTTTCTCCTACTCCTCCCCTGGCTCCATGTAATGAATAACGCACTCCTTCCCTTCCCTCCCATCACTACAGTCTCATGCAGGCAGTAATTGAAAGCCTGGGACTTTGAGTGTTACTGGTAAGGCAGAAGGGTCATAAAGCATAAAAGACATTTTTTTAGAAAATAAAATATGTTCAAAAGAAACAAATTGTCCACTAGGTGACAAGTATAAATAACGTGTAAGTAATAGCTTTAATATATTTTTGATAAAATATGGGCATTAGGATAAGGGATACTATAGGCACCAAGTTGTAGCAAAATGTTGGAAAAAACATACACATTGGCAACTAGGTGACAAGTATAAGTAAGGTGTAAATAATAGCTTTAATATATTATTGATTGAATATGGGCATTCGGACATTAAAGAGTTACTATAGGCACCAAGGTGTAGCACAATGTTAGAAATATTTGTGTTTGCGGAGGGAAATCAGAGTGCAGGTTTGGTTTTGAAGAAAGAAGGAATGCAAAGGATGTTCAAAATCCATAAACATGCTTTTCTGTAGAGGATGAGATTGGTGATGGGATGTATAGCAGTTGGTGCAATACGGAAACATATTGGCAAATAAATAAAATCTCCCTAAAAATGAATAATGCAGGTGCATACACAATACGAAAGTATTATTTACAAACTATACAGTAATTAACAGTTACAAGGCATACACTACTAATAGTTGCAAAAGTATAGTAGGATATTGAGGAAGATGGGTAAAACGGCATGTGGTTTCTCTCTTGAGTGAAGGCAAATTACTAAATTGGTTACAGATGATATTGGAAATGTTTGCATTAGCAGAAGGAAGTCGGCACGCAGGTCTGAATGTGTAGAAAGACGGAATGCAAAAAGGCATACAAAGTGTTATTCCATGAATCATTTCTATGACATTTGAAAATGCTAATAATGTTTGTTTTTCATCAATTGAAAAATCCTGTCTTTTTTTATGCATTTATTTTTTTTCTTATTTTTTTTTGTCAGTGAAAGAGTATTTGAACTTGTTATTGGCAGGTTGTGTCATACAGATGGACGCCGCTGAAATATGAAAACTCATAAACACAATGCAAGCTTTTGTTAAAATTCCTTAATCCACCTACGTAAATGACATTTTCAATAATCTGATAATCGGGTTTTTTCCAGCTGTTTAGAAAGAAAAGAATAAAAAAAAAAAAAAAAAAATACTTCTTGTGACAAAGTTATGGACATAAAACATCAAACTATTTGTGTTTCTTCTAAATGATTACATAATTAGAAAGCATTCATTACGCAGCCAGTTGTGGTAACTGTTCTATTTAGAATAATCAAAATTGCAGAATTCAAAAATATGTTCAGTTCTGCCGAAATTGAGATTTCCTACAATTTTTTTAATTTTGTCTAAGGTTTTGCTGGTTAAAAGGTTACTCCAAACACGATAACCACTTCAGTGAGTTGAAGTGGTCATGGTGCTTGGAGAATTTTACTATGACCCACTGCACATACAACGTTTAACCCCCATCATCATTAGGACATCGTTAGCCAGCTCGGAATAAGAGTTCCAGCCTGGCTAATGTAAAACAATTCTAAATTGTTTTTGTTTTTTTTACTTTTGCAGAAGGACCAGAAATGTAAGAAATACCCAGATTTAAAACAGTGTTTTATTAAATCACAGTTTTTTGGTTGGAGTAACCCTTAATGTTGGTTCTCAAGTCACAAATACTCATCATGCATCAGTTAGTGAAATGCTTCAGCCCCCTGGATGAAAACTAGATACATTTTATTATAGGCAATACTTGTGTTTTATACATTTATTTATTTTTAAGTAAACTATTTTTTGTTGCTGTATTTGGTTGTTTGTTTTTTAATTGTAAATATATTTTTATTGAAGATAATTTTCAATAACGAACAGATAAAGCAGTATGGGTCGATATATTTGTTATACCTGCGTCCTATCCCGGTTGAGCTTAGCATGTACTTTATACAGATTACCAATTCCATCACCAATCGTTCCACGCCGGGCCAGGATGTACTGAATGTATACATGTTCTCATGTTTTACAGCCATATAATTGTTGTGGGAGTAACATGGGGTTTGACATACCTGGGGGAGGACCATGGACAATAACTGCCTGTATTGAGGTTGGCTGGTATCCTGTGGGCTATCAAACTAACAGAGGAAGGTAGGATTGGCTTGTACCAACTAAATGGCTAGACCAGGGGGCAAGTGGATGATATGACATACAGTGTCGTAGAGACATGTAGTGGATCGAGGTTTGTGGGAAAAAGCTCAAATCATCCAATTGGTCAAATGGGCCTGAAATACAAAGATATCAAGAGCTGGACAACTCCTGAGGGTTTAAATTGAAATCATTGTATCTCCATAGCTACATTTATTTAGTAGTTTATATATTCACTTTGGAATGTTAGAAAGCGGGGAACAATATTCTAAGAATCTAGCAATGGAAATAAACTTCATAACTGATATTACGAATTTTGCTACATTCCTTGTTATTCTTAGAAAATAATATGAGTGTTCTTTGCAATTTGCCTTTTACTGACAGATACATTTCATCCGGATCACATACAAATTGAAAGCTTCTTCCAAGCAATCACGTCCAGTTATTGGACTGCATACTAATATTTAGGTATTTTTTCATATTGAATGTTTTATCTTTCCTGTATTTTATTCAGTAAACTGTATCACCGCCTTATTTGTTTTCCATGCATCTTGCAAGATAGGTGGGGACCCCTAGTCACCTGGGGTAATTTTTTTATTTAGGGCCCCCACCTGCCACTCAGGGGTGGGGGCCAGGGGGGAGGACATTAGGTCCCCCCCTAAATAGTATTTAGGGCCCCCACCCACCGCTCAGGGGAGGGGGCCAGGGGGGAGGACATTAGGTCCCCCCTCATTCTAATTTAGGGCCCCCACCCACCGCTCAGAGGTGGGGGCCTGGGGGGAGGACATTAGGTCCCGTCCCCCCAAATTAGTTTTTAGGGCTCCCACCCACTGCTCAGGGGTGGGAGCCAGAGAAAAGGACATTAGGTGTCCCCCCCCTCATTCTAATTTAGGGCCCCCACCCACCACTCAGGGGTGGGGGCCAGAGGGAGGACATTAGGTCCTCCCCCATTATTTTACTTTAGGGCTCCCACCTGCCGCTCAGGGGTGGGGGGAGGACAATAGGTCCCCCCATTATTTTACTTTAGGGCCCCCACCCGCCGCTAAGGGATGGGGGCCGGGGGGGCAATAGGTCTCCCCCTTATTCTAATTTAGGGCCCCCACCCGCCGCTCAGGGGTGGGGGCTCGGGAGGGGGGACCCCTTTTTTTTTTTTTTTTAACAGTGAGCACTGTTTACTAGAGATGCCACTAGGGGCATAATTTACTAATACTAAGTAATCTTTACTTAGTATTAGTAAATTTGGCTGAAAGACCAATTTAGGTCTTTCAGCCTTTTGGTAGATAACGCCCTAATACCGTTATCTACCAAGCGGCTGCAAGAGAAGTTTTGAAGTGCCGAAGTTGTCGAATTCCCGAAGTCCTGAATTTCGGAGTGCCAAACCAAACCAAATTTTTTTCCCATGCACATGCCTAGGACTCACAGTGTTTAATATACAGTGGTATGTGCAACAGCGTGGGTACAGGTGCAATTTTACAACGTTTATGATGTAATGCTAGGGCCTTGTACTGAGGGGATTATATCCTGTCTAGGCGTGTATACCATCCAGGAGTGCCACATGGCAGTAAACCTGGCGTGAGTGTTAAGGGAGAACGCGGTTAGTTCCTCCATCTGTTTTATGCCGTCTACCCTGTTCCTCTATTCCGCTATGGTGGGGATCCGCGGGGATCTCCAATAGAGAGAAATAAGAGATTTAGCTGTGTTACGGTTGCCCCAGGCTAGCTGAGAGTTGGACCGTAGATGGATGCTCCTAGCGCTTACCAAGGACCATCAGCACCGCACCAGACACCATAAGCAATGCAGACACCACAAACTGCCACAGCTTGGTTGGGGTCTCGCCGTCTCCTACCCACCTACGACAAGGCTACAGGCTCCAGTGGGTGAACCTCTCTTCCTTCAGAGAGAGAAGCAGGAACAGGAACAAGCTCTTACAAGCGCTTAGTGAAGCTAAGGGAGTATGAAGAGCATAGCAATCCCTGTAGTGATTATAGCTGTCCCCCCCCCCAAACACGAGTCGAGGCTGCGAGTTGATGGTCAAGTAGAGCTGGTTTAATGAGCACAAAGGCATTTCTTTTATACACATTTCCAGGCCAGAGGCACACCCCCTCAACCTCTGTTCTGGGACCCCTTCTATTTAACATGTTTATAAATGATCTTGAAGACCACATTGAAAGTCATGTTTCAGTGTTTGCAGATGACACAAAACTTTGTAAAACAATACAATGTGAGCAAGATATTACTTTGCTGCAGAGGGATTTAGATAGACTGGGGGACTGGGCACTCAAATGGCAGATGAAATTTAATGTTGAAAAATGCAAAGTTATGCACTTCGGCGTAAAGAATACACAAGCAACGTATACCCTTAATGGAAGCGAATTAGGGATAACAACACATGAAAAGGACTTGGAAATTGTTATAGACAACAAACTATGCAACAATGTGCAATGTCAATCAGCAGTGGCCAAGGCCAGTAAGGTATTGTCATGCATGAAAAAGGGCATTCATTCTCAGGACAAGAATATCATTTTGCCGCTTTATAAATCACTGGTAAGACCCCATATTGAATATGCTGTGCAATTTTGGGCACCTGTTCTAAAGAAGGATATTATGGCACTAGAAAAAGTGCAGAGGCTGGGCTACAAAATTAATAAAAGGAATGGAACATATCAGCTATGAAGAAAGGTTAACAAATTTAAACCTATTTAGTTTAGAAAAACGTCGCCTGAGAGGGGATATGATAACATTATACAAATATATTCAGGGCCAATACAAACCATTGTGTGGAAATCTATTCACAAACCGGACTTTACATAGGACATGAGGCCATGCGTTTAGACTGGAAGAAAGAAGATTTCGTCTAAGGCAAAGGAAAGTTTTTTTTACTGTAAGAACAATCAAGAAGTGGAATTCTCTGCCTGAAGAAGTGGTTTTATCAGAGTCCATACAGATGTTCAAACGGCTACTAGATGCATACTTGCAAGAACAGAATATTCAAGGATATAATCTTCAATGTAGGGTAATAACTGCTTGATCCAAGGATAAATCTGACTGCCATTCTGGGGTCAAGAAGGAATTTTTTTCCTAGCTTGTTGCAAAATTGTGCTTCAAACTGGGTTTTTTGCCTTCTTTTGGATCAACAGAAAAAAACAAATGTGAGGTAGGCTGAACTTGATGGACGCAAGTCTCTTTTCAGCTATGTAACTATGTAACCTGATGGAACACAGGAACAAAAGGGACACAAACCAATAGGAACAGTAATTAACACAGAAACACTCCCACATACAGTCAGCAATCCCGTCCCTCTGCCTGTGATCTAATTAAGCTAGCTAAAGGAATAAGCTAATTATCCACAGGCAGAAAATATTAATTTTTTACCCAAAGCACAGAAAACACCCCAAAACACCACATATCCCCACATCAGAGCAGGGGTTCAAAAGTTTTATGGAAGTCTCTTTTGACCGACCGCAAGCATGGCTTTCATGCCCAAAATAGTTCCACAGATTTAGGCTGTGCAGCCGGTCTAAGTCCAATGTTAAAAATGCCCTATAGTACAAGGAAGGGTGTGGTCAGACAATAGCAAGGTCTGATGGGAGATTGAGGGGGGACAAAGTAGCCAGTTTAAACTGGTCTGGCAGTGTCCCTGGGACAACACCCTGCTGGGGAAATAACAGGACAAGAAAAAGGGTGAGGTGAAGAGGCACATTTTCCCATGGAAATCACTCATTAGCATGTCTTTTTGCAGAGCCCATAGTCTTGGGGCAAGAGGCTGGCAATCAGGCCCCTCCAAAAGCCAGTTGCGAAAGGCAATTCATCACAAGCTGCTAAAAGTAGAATGTGAGGCCAGTTTTGCATAGTGTATTAAGGGGAATGTCGGTGTGTAGGAGCACAATTTCACACTGGCTAGGATATTAATGGGGACTATCTCATCCCAATATTTTTTAATTAGGGGGGCAATGCCACCATAGATGAATAATCAAGCCTTTATCAGCGCCACATCTCCAGCACACCTCGGGATTGGAAGAGTTCCATCTGTGTAACTTATCTGGAGTGTGGTGCCGTCTTGCAAGTAACTTTAATCCCAGCTCTAGGTGTTTGGAGCTTGTGGCTATGGTATAAGTTACTTGGAAGGTTTTTTGTCATTGGTGTATTGTCAGGGATATGTTTAAGTCCTTCTCCCAAAAGACTAGTGTATGTGGGCAACTTTTGGAGCAGGGTTTTGTACAGAAGTTTGTAAGCCATTGATAACATTCTTTTAGTATGGGTTTTTGAGGTGCATATAAACTTGAAGTCTGTGGGGGATCTAACAACTTGATCAATATTCGGCAAGATGCAAAGGTGTATTTAACATTTTATTGAAATAAAACTTTTCAATTAAAAATGACTTTGCCCTGATTTATCTTACGTTTTTTTCATAATTGTTTGTTTTTTTGCAGAGCATTTAGTGAAGCAGTGGATTTATAACAACCTGTTACCCTTGTGCTAAATTTCTTGTTGTTAACAGATCTAGGGAAAGTATAGTTGTCAACTCTGTTTATGTAAAAATAAAAACTAGTAAGCAAATATATATAAAAGATATGTTGCATATGAGTGTTTTCTTTTTGTTTGTTTTTAAAGCCATGTGTTTTTCTTTATGATTGTGTGTAATAAAGTTGTTTATAAAATGGAATAAAAAAACCAAAAACTTTGCAATTCCTTGGAATAGAAAAATTGTTTATCGGTCTCTGTTCCTCGCTGTTCCGTGACCTTGGACAGAAAATCTAAAACTCAAAATAAAATGCTGCTATAATTCCTTTCAGGAAGTGTATCTGACAATGTGGAAATTGTCATCTCTATTGCATGTGTCTCTTCATTAAAACCTTGTCTGTTTATTACAGGTGGGGGGAAATTTTCTTTGTTTATGCCCTAATACAATTTCTTGGTTATAATGTCTCCTTCTTACAATCTGAAAGATGAAGTCAAACACTCCACTACTCAGGGGTTACCTGGTGGACACAACTTGCAGAACAAGATTCTGGTACACACATTGAACCTTACCTAAATTCCTGTGTGATACAAAAATTAATAATTATTTTAATACAAAATATCACTAATGTGTGACTTGTGTGGGAATTTTCATTTTACACCAGAACAACAAGTCAGTCTTGTCCTTTGACAGCCTGATTAACGGTTTATTCCGTTAAATAACTAATAAGAACCATAAACAACATTCTTTCATCTCTGTTCTCATGATAACGAACATATGTTTTGAACATATTGCTTTATCAAACATAATTGGAAATGGAAATTAAAGGGACACTATAGTTACCAGAACAACTACAGATTATTGAATTTGTTCTGGTAAGTAGAATCATTCTCTTCAGGCTTTTTGCTGTAAACACTGACTTTCAGAGAAAATGCAGTGTTTACATTACAACCTAGTTATAACTCCACTGGTCACTCCTCAGATGGCTTCTAGAGGTGCCTCCTGGGGCAGTGCTGCACACTGTGCAGTACTGCCATTCAGTGTCCACACCCTCTGCATGCAGACACTGAACTTTCCTTATAGAGATGCAATAATTCAATGAATCTCTATAAGGAGATGCTAATTGGCCAGGGCTGTGTTTGACTTGTGCTGGCTCTGCTTCCTTGACAGCCACGGCCAATCCTAAAGGGGAAGCATTCTGATTGGCTCAGAACAACACTTCTGATAATGTCAGCAGACAGCAGGCAGTTTAGGGGCAGAGACAACAGCTGCAGATTTGAATACAGGTATGATTTTACTATATTTATGGAGGCAAGGGGCATTCTGGGGGGAGGAGTAAATGGTGGTTTTGACACAATAGGGTCAGGAATACATGTTTGTGTTCCTGGCCCTATAGTATTCCTTTAAGATAGGAACATAATGGCCAAGAGAAGAGTTGATAACCATGGTTGTAAAGACCAGGAAACTACTCTCTATGAATGGAGAATTCCACCCCAATTCCAGCACCTAGAGACTGTAAACCAGCTGGAACGAAGTTGGGGCTTGATGAGTTTCAAGGCCACAGTCCTGGATGAAATACAGAGCATCCACAAGTACATCACGAAGATGGCTCCCAAAGATGATCTGCTAAGGGAATGTCTGATACAACAATAGATGGAAAAGGGGGAGGAGGTTCCATAGCAAGACAAACCGCTCCTTGGGGTGTACCACCGGCACATAGTGCAGGACTGGAAAACCACACTGAGGTACTAAACCTAGCAGCACAGGAACAGGCACTCAGCACCAAAATCAATAGAAGTGGGAGTCTACCACCAAGGTCCAGAAAGTGCAAGAGGCCTCTGAGACAACCCAGCACGTAGTAGCCGAGTGCAAGATATTAGCAGGGACAGCATACACTGAGAGGCACAACCAAGTTGCTGGGATTATGTATCTGTACAGAATATGGACCGGATCTGAATGACAGGGCTAAGATCCTGTGTGAATTTCAGAGCCAATTGAATTTGGGGGAACCATATGAAGCATCTGTTGTGTTGAGCTATTTCAATTGCTTTTGTTTGATTTGTTCATTGCAAACAGCTGAAAGTCTGTACATTTTGACAATAATCCTGATTTATAAATGTATCACAGAGGACTGCACTCACCTGAACATACTTTTTTTTGTAAGGATGCTGCTGGGGGCAATTCATACAAAATCCAGCTCACTCACTCATTCACTAAACAGCAATTTCAAGGCTCACAGAATGTAATAGTTTTATTTAAAAACATCTCACCTAGGCAAAAATATTGGGGGTTTAGTGCCTGCCAAGAATGGGGTACATTGACGTTGTAGCAGGCTTATGCAATGTATAATCATATACTGTAACTAAACCCCCATTATTTTTGCCTAGGTGAGGTGTTTTTAAATAAAATTACTATTTTCTGTGAGACAGCGCACTAAACAGCAATTTCAAGACTCACAGAATATACAAGTTTTATTTAACGATAATTTCCCAGAGGTAGATATATATATATATTTTTTTTTAAACAGGAAACTGGGACCTGAATCCAAAAGTATTTATAACACAGGAGTGTTCTTTTTACGTTTTGTGTTAGCGTAGTACAAGCATATCAAACTCAAAGGCTAGCACGGGCCAATTAAAAAGGTTATATAAAGTTTATGTGGGATGCAAAAAAAAAACAAAACTAAAATTTTCATAGAAACGTAGAATTATTTGGAAAAGTACAGTAAATAACAAATCCCAGCATCACCCTCTACTAAACCCCAGCCCCCTCCTTTACTAAACCCCAGCCACCCCTATACTAAATTCCAGTACCCCCCTCTACTAAATCCCAGCATCACCCTCTACTAAACCCCTGCCCTTGTTTAAAAAAAACAATATTAGCCAACAAGCAGACACCACTCACATTGGCGCTGCCAGTATGCAACTCCGGAGTCTGGCCTCTGGTATACCCCCAATGGCACCTCTAGCCAAGCAGATCATCCCGATACACTTTGAAACCCTGTGAAGGCAGAGCACGTTGACGTCCTTTGAAATGTGACATGGCGTTGCTTGCTTCCGTGTACCTCCAGGTCCTCCACTGACCAGCCGCCACAATCGCAACACTGACAGACAAACACTCACTGACAGACACACACACACTCACTCACAGACACACACATTTACACAGTGCGCAGTTTTGATGATGCCGGGTCGGAATTACGTCCTATTTCAGTACATGGCATCATTACAGAGGGCGCATGCGAGGGATCAGTGAGGAGCAGAAAAAAAGAGACTGAGCTCCGCCAGCGTCCTCTTCCCGCCAGCCGTGTAAATTTTATCAGAGTAGGCACCTGCAATGTTGGGAGAACAGGTGCCTACTCTGCCTTAACACTAAGCATGTACTCACGACTCACTGGGCCGCAAAGATATTCATTGTGGGCTGCAGGTTTGACATGATTGGTGTAGTATATGATCATGTTTAGGGATTGTGTAGTGTAGACGTTAATGTTTAGTGTATTGTATTAGGGTATGGATGAGTTAAGGAGAGGACTTTATTGTAATGATAGCACAAGGAAACAAAAAAGACAATTTTACCGGAGATTAGTGGGAGTTACAGTCCTGAGTGGCAGCTATTTCAGCTGCCCTCATTAGTATGCATGCAAGTGTGCCCAGGAGTGTAGCTCCCAGCAATCTTGGGCGGCCGAAACATATATGTCCTGGTTCTGCCCAGAGATTAGGCCCCCAAACTGCATGGAGGTGACCTGTGCAATATAATCCATTCGTTACTAGAAAGAATTGGACGGATTACATCACTATCTATTCAGTACGGAATTCTAAAACATGAAATATACCAAATCTTAGAAACCTCAAAAGTTCTGACTTACATATTTCCTGTGTACACGCAGTTACCTTGTCTTATCTAGTATTGATACATGGGGTTGTCTTTTCAGATCTAGTGTCTATCTATGCAAATCCTCTTGAACAAGTTGTTTGAAGCTTTGTATTGTTTGGGGTATAATTCTGCCAGTAAGTCTTTTCTTAGAAGATATAAGTTCAATGAGATCACATCACTGAAGTTGTTACTTTCTTCTTTTGCATTTGCTCTCAAGCACTCAAAGAGATTTGTGGCATTACACATCAAGTGCAAAATCTGATACCCATAGCCTGAGGTGTTATCTACATAAAACATCTAGTTTCACTTTCTGTTGTTACTTTCATTTTGCCTACTGTATTTCTGTTTACTTAGCTGGAGTTTTCTTTGTTAACCCCTTAAGGACTGAACTGTTTTTGCGATGTTGTACATTTGCGACCACGCATATTTTTACACTTTTGTGGTGTTTGTGTTTGGCTGTAATTTTCCGCTTTCTCATTTACTGTTCCCATACAAATTATATATTGTTTTTTTCAGGACAAAAGGGGCATTCTTTACATACCATTATTTATATAATCTCATGTATTTTAATTTAAAAAAAAATAAAAAACATCTGATAAAATTGAAAAAAATACATGTTTTTTTACTTTTACTTGAAAAATCTTTTACTCATCTACAAAAGCGAATGAAAAAAACTGCTAAATAGATTCAAAATTTTGTCCTGAGTTTAAAAATACCTAGTGTTTACGTGCTTTTTTGCTTTTTTTTGCATGTTATAGGGCTATAGGTACAAGTAGGATATTGCGGTTTCAAAACATACATTTTTAAAATTTATCAATAGTGACATTGTAACACTATTATCTGTCATAAATCTCTGAATAACACCCCACATGTACATATTTTTTTTAAAGTAGACAACCCAGGGTATTCAATATGGGGTATGTCCAGTCTTTTTTAGTAGCCACTTAGTCGAAAACACTGGCCAAAGTAAGCATTCATATTTGTTTGTGTGTGAAAAAAGTAAAAAAACTAAATTGAACGCTAATTTTGGCCAGTGTTTGTGACCAAGTGGTTACTAAAAAAGACTGGACATACCCCATTTGCAATACCTTGGGTTGTCTTCTTTTGCAAATGGTATGCCATCATGGGGGTAATTCTCATTCCTGGGCTACCATACGCTCTCAAAGGCAACGTAACCAACCTGGCCATTTTCAATGTAAAAATATTTGACCTATATATTTGACCTTGTAACTTTCAAAAATGCTATAAAACCTGTACATGTGGGGTACTGTTTTACTCGGGAGACATCGCTGAATGCAAATATTAGTGTTTAAAAACTGGAAAACGTATCACAACAATATCATCAGTAAAAGTGCTGTTTGTGTGTGAAAAATGCAAAAAAAGTAAGTATGTTTTACTGTTTTGAATCACTAATATTTGTGTTCAGCGAAGTCTCCCGAGTAAAACAGGGTGTCGTAGAACGTTACAGGGTAAAATACAGTGCTAGCAAATTAAATTCTCTGGAATTTCGGCCTGGGTTGGCAGGCAGGTCCCTCAAATTGCAATAAATAAAATTACTGAATTATGTAAAAATATTACATAAATACGCACGTAGAATTTAAATATATATGCATATTTATATATTTGAAGTCTACGTGTATATTTATATAATTATTTATGTAATTTTGTATATGGACATATGTATATTTCTTATTATTTTTATTTATTTTTATATACATAGATATATATACAAATTCATTCTAAGTGTATTTTGATATAAATATATATATATATATTAATTGTAAAATACAGTTAGAATAAAATTTCATATAGCTATATAATTTTTTTTAAATTTTTTATTATTTAAAAAAAAATTATTTAATTTAAATGACTTATTATTTATATTTTATAATAATATATATATACAATATATATAGTTATTATATATATTATATATATATATACGTGTGTAATTTAATTATAAGTGTATTTTTATATTAATATAAGTACATATAAATATAAAAATACACTTAGTATGGCATTATATATATATGATATATAGACATATATATATCATATATACACATATATAAGTAATTTTTTTTTATTAACACTAACTTTATTTATTTATTTTCTGATTTTACACTAGCAGGGAGACTGCCTGTCAGCACAGGCAGTCCCCCTGCAGACAGACACATGGACACCCATTGTGACCATGTGATCGCTGTGTTAAGCGATCACATGGCCACAGGGGTCCTAATCCGCCGTGGGGAGACTGTCTGGGCTGCAGGCAGTCTCCCCACAACCGGAGCCACGCTGATCGCCGCCGGGGGAACGACAGCGATCAGGTAAGTAGCTCAGACCGTTAGGACGGTTCAGGACCGTCATCGGTCGGCAAGCCAAAAATGCCGAGGACGGTTCAGGACCGTCATCGGTCGGCAAGCCAAAAATGCCGAGGACGGTTCAGGACCGTCATTAGTCGGCAAGCCAAAAATACCAAGGACGGTTCAGGACCGTCATCGGTCGGCAAGCCAAAAATGCCGATGACGGTCCCGAACCGTCCTGGGTCGGGAAGGGGTTAAATCAAGCTCTGTTATTTCTAAAAAAAAAAAAAAAAGTTTTTTTAAAATAAATGTTTCGGGGGGGCGGAGCTTAACCACGGAACGGAGCGGTCGCATGTGTAGCGAGCTCCGGCAAAAACGCGGCTAATTACCGACAAACAAACCTCTCACAGCCCTTATAATCCTATCAACCGACGGCCAGGACAGAGGGGCAAAGCACTCACCTGATCGATGCCCTTTTTATACCGCCAGACGGGACGGAAAGTACGCCGCACATCCAAGGCCTATCCAGACTACAGGGCCTTTGAGACGGCGCTCCACAACGCGGTCTTCTCCACTGCCATACCGCCCACGGAGCACACAGACACCGACCCGATAAACATGGGACGAAAATCCCAGCGGATAGCTACAGGTGCGTGCAAAGATACCCAAGACATTAGCACCATGCTCCAGCGCACAGCGGCACCGAAAATGGCGGCCACACCCGACCCAGACACAGGCTCCACGTGCTCGGAACTTGCCCTGGGGGACACCCTAGAACATCACTCAGCCCAAACTGACCCTGATGCACTGACACCTGCCACAAAATTAGACATTAAAAACCTCCTCATGGAGCTGAAACAAATGTCCGCAGCAGACATGGCTTTAATGAAAACGGAGGTGCAGGCGGTCACAGACCGAGTGAAGACCACTGAAGAAGACATTATAGATGTTCAAAACGAAATGAGAAGCCTAAAAGAAACAGTGCACCAACTAAAAGCATCACACACAACCCTGATCAACAAGCTGGATGCAGCAGAAGAGAGAAGCCGTAAGAGCAATGTGAAAATCAGGGGTATCCCTGAAGAAATAAGTCAGGCGGAACTACCACACTACTTTAGACGTCTGGCCGCCACCATAATGCCACACGCACAGGCCAAAAAATTAAATATAGCAGGGATATTTCGCATCCGGAAATCGCCACAGGCACCCCCCCAAGCAACCAAAGATGTGATCGTACGGTGCCATACCCAAACAGACAGAAATGCCATCTTCGCTGCCCTAAAAGGCAAAACACCATTGGACTTTGAAACCGCGAGTCTTACCTTCTATCAGGACCTGACACGATCCACACTCCAATGGAGAAGAACCCTGCGCCCTATGACCCGCCGCCTCCAAGACGCCAAGTTAGTATACCGCTGGACTGCACCAAAAACACTATCGGTGGACCACAACGGCACCACTCTACACCTCAACTCCACTCAGGAGGTGGACTCTTTCATTAAGGCACTGGGACTACCACAAGGATCTGACCACACAGAAGTACCCGCCAGCTCCCATATGTGGGACCCCAACAGGACTGTCCCTTTTCTACCGAGGGGAAGAGGAGCCCCTGAGGCAACCACCTGACACCACTGACTGTCTCTCAACCCATAAACGCGCTTCAACTACGAAGCCTCTACCGCTATAATTATTGTTTCGCTATAATTTGACTTTCACTGGTTTTCGACTTGATTTTTCTCAATTGTTTAAGGCTTGGCACCTAGGCACCACTGTAAGGCACACTATGTTTCCCAGGATTATATAATCCACGTAATGGCAAAATACGGCACACCGCTATAGCCACGACGAGTAGCACACTACACGGCAAAACACTCTTAGGTTAGGGCCAACTATAGGCCGCTGGTATATTCCGCCCCCCCGCGGCCTCCCTGGTTAGGGGCCACTAACCACTTGATACCGCACGAATACCACTTAAACACATGGGAAGACCCAGGGTTGACATTAAGTACACCCACACCAAGCGAGCCAGAACCTGGGACCCCCAAACTGAGCCACACTAACAAGGAGTGGGGCAAAATTATTTATCGCCATAGTACATATTTCAAATCACTAACATGGGAGGAGGAATAGCTACTCAGAACCCTACACACATACTGGATGTACAGATTACACTATATCCATACAACTTCTTCCTCCAAACAGGAGACTATGGCGATCTAGCGATAATTCTAATTAGAAGGATGTAACGTGGGAACTTACTTTCCTAATTTAAAATTGTGCAAAGTATTTCAATGCCAAATGTTTATTCATGTTTTCTGTTTGAAGCCTGAGACAGCTGTTGTGGCATCTCAAGCGACTATGTTAAACAAATGCGCAACAAAAATAAAGAATTATAAAAAAAAAAAAATAAATGTTTCAATAAATGGATTTAACAACAAAACAAAACACAAAACAACTCCTAGCTAATTCAAGATTTTCTAAAACTGCAAATATTTGTCGACTGAATGGTGAATGTAATCCACAAATGGTTCTCCCTCCGGTGTCCCATCCAGAAAAATGTTTGAGGACTACAATTCCCGAAGGCTGACTTAGCATGATGGGATATGTAGTCCACGTACATCTAGTCCACAATCGGCTACATCCCAAACTACACAGAACTATATACACACCTGTGTTCAATAGGGCATAATAATCTGAATTAAATGTAAATAAAAGAAGATTAGAACAGATCATATGCTTGATGCTGGTTTTAGCTGAACTGATTTGTCTCTGTAGGTTAGTCTGTTTAATTATACGTTTATGAAGTAAACAGCATTGGTGGGCTTATTCAATACACATTTCATTTTAGCTAACTAAATCCAAATGGCAAAAATGAGGCAAAAATAGTTGATTTGGAAATCTTCTCTTACCCTGCTAGTAGCCTCAGTTTTGTTATTTAATGTGCTTTCCTCGGTATCAAACCACCTCATACCCTTTACTGCCAATGTTAGAGTCAGTAATACACACTTATAGAAGTTACATGATTAAAGGAACACTCCTTTAAAAAAAAAAAAAAATCACTGTTTAGTAGATATACCGCAAATGAAAAGATGCATGCATTTAATTATCCGTTTTATATATGGGGGTATATCTATAAACAGCTTTCAAAACCTGCAGTTCTTGACTGCAGCCTTTGCAAGCTCCCCCCTTTTTTTTTTTTTTTTTATTCTTTATTTATTCCAAGGCAGAACATTACACTGAGAACATGATGCATCAAAACATTGTAATATATTGTTACACCGTGCAAAACAGTATTGTATCGTATTTGCAATAACAGTGAGCTAACAATCTTTGCACCCCCTTACTGCAACATAGTAACATGAAGTGTATCTATCATACACTACAGCACTGTATCTCTGTTCTCCCTGGTAGATTTTTGTTTTACACGAAAAATATAAAAAATATATATTGGCTAAGACCGCCAAACAAACATTTCTTTTGTCAATAGAACGTGCCCCATCCATTCCCCTGCGATTATGCACGGGCCCCATATGTCTTTTTCTCTAGCTCTATCGAATTATTATCCTTTTGCACCTATAATCATCTGACCACATCCTTTAGCAGTGCCAGTTGTTTACACATTGTAAGGCAATGTTAGGTCAGATGTATATAATTCTCTCAGACAAAAGTAAGAGAAGAGTAAAGATATAAGAGGGGTACGTGTGAAGATAGAAAGAGATAGTACAGGGAAAGGAAAGGGGAAAAGTAAGAGAAAGAAGTAAGTGGAGGGGGAGCGCGGAGGAATCCAGTCTAACTTACACCCACTCCATCCAAGCATGCCCAAGGGAGTCTCGCTAATGTGTACATCACGCACTTGCTGCGCTAGCTACCCAAGGGCCCCAAACTTTTTCAAACTTTTTCATTGTACCCCGAACCCGGGCTGTTAGGTCATCCATCAAATAATTATCTTTAATTTTCTGAATCACCACGGCGATTTCTGGGGCCTCTCTGCGCAACCATACCTGTGCCAAAACTCTCCTAGCGGCTAGGTTCACCTTATGTAACAGGGTCAGTTCTGATATCGTCCAGTTTTCTATAGATCTAGCTAACAAAAATACCCATGGGTCTAGCTTAACCTCCCTCTCAAATATTTCTCGCAGCAACTGCGCAATTTGTTGCCAATAAACTTTTGTGATCGGGCATTCCCACCACATGTGGATATACGTGCCCTTGAGACCGCACCCCCGCCAGCATAAGTCTGTCGTAAGATGATTTATACGGCTTAACTTTACCGGCGTAGCATACCATCGAAATAACGTCTTATATGATTGATCCTGTAACGAGACACACATAGAGGACTGCACGGCTGCTTCCCATATTTCCTGCCATTCCACTCCCTCCAACGTCTCTCCTAAATCCGCCTCCCATTGGTCTATGTATGTAATACCTCCCCATTCTGCCGTGCTATTACACAAATGTGAGTATAGAAGTGAAATCAGCCCGCTTGGGAACTGTTCCTTTGCGCACATTCTTTCAAAGAATGTCATCTGTGTCTCTGTGGCTTTTTTAACCTGTCGATCTTGGGCATAGTCTCTAATCTGGAGATATCTAAAGAAGTCAAAGGGTCGTAGAGGCGTTCTAGTTTGCAAATCCTCAAACGTCACAAATGACCCCGCCTCAAACAGTTGGTGTAATCTCTGCAGTCCTGCACGTTCTATGCCTCTAAAATCTTGGGCTGTCATTCCTGGTAGGAAAGCTTTGTTCCTCAATAGAGGGATCAATGGAGAAGGGGAGGATATCAAGCCATATTTAGGAGCGACTGCGTCCCAGATCTTCAGTGAATTGGAAACCGCAGGGCAGGTCACGCTTATGTTCGGTCTATGCTCCTTAGGGGTCTACATAAAAAACTGGGGCATATCCATCCCCATCAGGGAAGCTTCTAGATCTACCCATCTTCTTTCCTCCGGTGGAGAATGCCACAGTGCCACCTGAGCCAGCTGGGCTGCCTCATAATAAAAATATAGATGCGGAAGGCCCAGGCCGCCCCTGTCCCTAGCCCGGTAAAGGATGTTGCGTGAGACTCTATGTTTCTTATTCCGCCGTATAAATTTGCCTATGGATTGTTGGAGCGGTCCCAAGTCAGATCTGGTCACTCTAATCGGGAGCGCCTGAAACAAAAACAATATTCAAGGTAGCACATTCATTTTCACGGAATGGATCCTCCCTATCCAGGAAATTGCCTTTTCTGTTCAGTTCTCCAAGTCTGTCATCAATGTCTTAATCAGCAAGGTATAATTCTGTTGGAATAGTGTAGATGGGTCTGCTGTCAGTCGTATGCCTAGGTATTTAATGTGATCTCTCGTGATTCGTAATTTATAGGTCATCCCTATGTAGGTGGTATCCGTCTCTGACATACCTATGGGCAATACGCTGGACTTGTCCATATTTACCTTATATCCGTCCAGTTCTCCAAATTCCTGTAGAATATCTGTTAGCGCCACCATGGATTCCCTTGGTTCTGTCAGCGTCAATAAGACGTCATCTGCGAAAGCTGACACCACGTATCTTTGCCCTCCATCATCTACCCCTTTAATGGCTGGAGCTGCGCGGATCGCCTGAAGGAGTGGTTCTAGCGAAAGAGCGAACAATAAGGGCGACAATGGGCATCCCTGTCTAGTGCCATTGCTCAGACCGAACGGGTTTATCTTTGCTTCTGAAATGCGAATTTGCGCCCTGACGTTAGTATACAAAGTTCGTATCGCCTTCGTGAATTGTTCTGGAAAGCCATAATGATCTAGCATTGTAAA